GATAGTGAAAAACACATCAGTCTTTTCAGGAGAGAAAAATAAGTAGGTAAAAGATGCAATCAGCTTTCACTACTTTGCTTTTTTCCTTATATGCTTTTTAGCTGTGTTGCTCAGCACTGTGTTTGTGGAGGTTTATGCACTCTGACAAATTCTGGTTGCTACCTTAAGAGCACTTATTCCCTACAGAAACTCATTTCACATCTCATCAGTTACAGCAATGAGATGGGGAAACCGATTTCTTGTTTCTCTGAGGTATATGCATGCTGGTTGGATAAGACAGCTGTAGCTGCAGCTGAACTGAGTTCTGGCCCTGAGTTCCCCCACACCTCCTCTGGGCTGAGTGATCTCCAGGTTTAGAGCCCACCTCTCTTTAAAGAGCAGCTCCAGGCATTTCCAAAGAAATGTGGTGCAATGAAAAACATGCTTTCATTTCAAGTCCCCTTTAGCAAGTTAAGACAGGAGTAGACCTGAGCATTTGATTAAGGTGTGTTGTGTCCATTTCCATGTGTTGCTTTGTCTTTCCCCTGCAGGGAGCCGTACAACATAATTCAGTATCACTTATGGCAGACTGTGCCCAGGAGACATTTTCAGACACTGCCAGGACTTGGCCTGTTTGGTTTGAAAGGCCCGTGATACTATGTGGTAAGTCATGAGTCTTTGTCCAGAGTATTTGCTCTGGTCTCAAGCAAACCCAGAAGCCACTGAAAACCACAGAGCATCACAAGACTCCTGCAAAACAGAACAAAACAAAACAAACACCCCAAAACCCCCACCTATAAAACTATCTGTTTACCCAAGTTATGAACCTGTTTATTTCTGGAAACAGAGTATTTTGGTAAAGTCATGGCAAACTTCCAGGCCATAAAAAAGACTTGAGATCTCATGATTAACATTCCCCAGGGCAATAAAAAAAAGCTACCCCTTACTGTAGGGGTATATATTCTCATTTCCTGCTGTTGCATCACTTCGTACAATTGGACAAGATAGAAAAGATCTGTACATTCCATCCAGGCAACTGGAGCAGCACTCTTAGCTTCGGGAAATTAAAGGCTACATGTCATAGCCATTAGTCCTGAGAGGCTAGGCTAGGAGGGAGTGCTTGGTGATGAGTACAGTGTGAGGCTTTGAACAGGAACTAAGGGGGAACTACAAAACATTAAAAGCATAAGGAGAATATAACTTTGGAATCTCTCTGCACTAGAAGCCTCTCTGTCAACCAACACTGGACCTTAGGGTCCTCACAGCTGCCGGCATGCGGCTTTTCCAGTACTGGCTACAAAGCCAAAAAGGAGCCCATCCCTTCTGGAAAATTTGCCTGCCTGTCCTTCTCGCCCAGAAATACTGGGTAGCTCAGAAATTCCACTCAACTTTTCAGCGATCTCCAGACAAGTTTTTACTGTTGAGGACAACCATATTCATGTGCAGGACAAACAACTCTTGTGGGTTCCGGAGCTCAGTAGACAAAGCCCCAGAATAGCAGTTAGGGAAAATCAGCCTGGCCAGAGAAGTGGTCTGGGATCTGCAGGACTCCGTTTCAGCTACTACAAACATCTGCTTTGCTCCACTACCTAATACTTCCTTCTGGTGTCTTCTGGCCTTTGTTCTCCTGCAGCAGCAGACAGAGATTTTTAACCAAATTAACAGTGCTAGGAATTTCTTAAAGTGTGAAGCTCTGTCCCTTGTTATGCAACTAAAGGCTCTTTGGTTAAGGTTAATAGGTTTCAAACTGGCTTTTAAGAGAGTAAACTGTCTCCATGGCTCTAAAACTGGCATACTGAGAGGCCCTTCCTCAGGGCCTTTACTGCCAGGTATTTAAGTAAAATTAGAGTTAAGTGTCAAAGGATAATAAGAATAAAACTGATTAACTATGCATGCCTAATAATAATAATAGAGTGGAAAACATTTTGGACTAAAATTAACGAGCACATCTTTAGTATGTGATACATGAATTTATCTGCATGACTTCCACTTGCATTAATGGGAGACACTTGGCTAAATTTCTGCCCAGTGAGCTGCTAATTCATGCCTAAGGGTTAAGTTTAAATTTAAACTTACAAAGGCCATTTAATGGTAGAGATGAAACACTGTCTTGAATTCATACAGTTTTTGGAGAAAAAAGGAATGGGAAAATAAATTAGCAGTGATGTATTAGTGTGAATGCTGAATTTCCTGAATTTAGTGATTAGTTTGATGCGGTCATAAGTCATGACATCCTGGTTCTGAGCAATACTTGGCTAGTGTGATATTCTGGTGTCCCAGCACCAGCAGCTTCCAAACACCTGATAACAAGTAAACGTTTATAATCAGCATTTTTTTACTAGCTGCTGTCAACAGTTGGCTTAAATTCTGATACAGGTGTAACCCAGAATTCCTTAGTTTATATTTTACTTCTAGTTCTTTCAGAACTCTTCTGAATTATGCACAGCTCATATTTAAGCATTGAAATTCCATACAGATTTACTGTAAAAAAAATATGATGCCTTTTTCCCATTTTAAGTTAGTTTCCTTTCAATCTCTCTCTTGTTTTTTTCTTAAGGAAGAGATTATTTAGGAAGACCTGATTTTCCTTTAACTAATATTCATTATTTTCTATCTTTCACTGTGTTCTCTCTTATTCTGAGTTTTGTTTCTAAGTGATATCATGCAAAACTTTTGAGCCATTTTCTTTACAAATGTCTTTGATCTGTATCTTCCCCTGTATCTCTCTTGATGTATGTTAACTGCTTCTATATAACTTTTCTAGTCCTACCTGTACCATTATAAGCACCAATGGTCAAAACCCAGCATAAGTACCCCACCAATTTATCTAGTCTACAATACCTGCTATGTTATTACCCCTTCATCTCCATTCCTGCAGAAGACTGTCACTTGTCTTTTTTCTATCACTGCACTAAACAGCTGTTTTCCTGAAGCTCTTCACAGTGACTCACTACTCAACTTTTAGCATAACTTCCACCCCTCATTTCTTCCTCCTCCCTTCACACACCTAGTGTTATATGAATAGATAGTTTAGACCATTCGTCCTAATGCTTGCTGCTTTTATAACCTGCATTTACAAGTAGTTACCTAGGCTTTCTGAAATTCCTCACAGCCTTCTCTGCTGTTACGGTGTCTCCTGTGCTAGCTGTCATTTTTTCCACCTGTCTGTTCACCTCCATTCAGACTGATCATACATGAAATAACACTTACTCTATGTGCTGGGGGCACCTCATGTAGCCCTTTCTTATTTAGAAAATTGTTCATCTCTTCCACCTCTTTACTTTTTATCTCTTAACCAGCTTATAATCCCTGTCTGATCTTGTCTGGTTGACTGTTTGCTCACTGAAGAAGGTTCCAGGCCTTTCAGCATTCTTGTTGTAGCGCTGTATAAATATTTATTCATATATAAGGCATTCCAAGTTCATTTTATCAGCTCATAGTCATCTAGGTGTCGTAAACCTATTAATTTTTTTTCCAATTAACTTTTCTACCATTGAGATAAGGCTTTCTGCTCTGTAATTACCAGGGTCATTCCCTGCATCTTGTTTAAAATTAGAGAAAATATTAACTATTCTCTAGTCCTAGCTGATGTGGAGTATGCTGTATGCCACAGTTAATTGTGAGAAAATATCGCTTACCTTGGAAAAGAGTAACCACATCGCTCACAGTGCGGCAAAGGTCTGACCTTCAACGACCCTCTGCTATTGCAGCCCTGGGTCTCCCAAGATAATGCCTTAATGTTACGAGTCCACATCACATCCAGGTTTAAAGTCCATAAAGTTTATTTTCACTTGGGACTTAAGCCAAGTGGTAAATCAGGCTCTTAACAAGAGATATGTGTCAGAAATTAAGTCAGCATGGCATGCAGCTTCCCTATGTTCAGACTGTTAAAAGGCTGCTACCAAGTAACTTTCCTAGATATCTTCACTTTAGTCAACATTGTTCATGTCTTGATCTGAAAATACTGATTTAGAGGCAAGAATATAAAATGCTCTTTCCTTGTATTTTCCCTCTCTAAATGTGTTCTGAACATAATGGACACTGTTCCTATGCAAAAATTTTGCCTTCCTAAAAAATTGCTGAGTTGGAGAAAAGATAAGGCTGAATGATTCAGCTGTTTCCTACAGGTAATAAATCTGGAAGGGAAGAGAGTTTGCAAAGGACTTACTTATGATTTCCAAATGTGGGCATAAGTTTAAAGCAAGAGGAAGTGCAGTCAAATGTCTCAAGGAACACGTCTCTGTGCTACTAAAAAGACTATTTCCAGAGGTATATATATCCACTTTGTAGCAGTCCTCTGATGGGAAAAATCAGTCCTCATTCTTGCAACAAAATTCACTAGGATGCTGTGGTAGCATCCACTCAGAGGTGGCAAAAGTTCTCTCTAACTGCTTCTAAATTAACTTACCCATAAACACCTGCTAACATCCCTTTCTCACACATATATAACCTCCTTCCACTCTGTTCATTCACCACTTCCAAATGCATATCACTGGGTGATGTCGTGGCATTAAAGACATCAATATTAAACATTTAAAATTAGGCCTTCCTGCATGTTGACTCTGTGTGCATCTCTGTCTCTATGCCTTATTGCAGTGGAAGGTACAAATGATGCTCCATTAAGTACCAAGCTGGTATCTTGCATGGACAGCAATAGAGATGCTGTTATCTATGTCTTAAAGCCTAAGCAGATCCTTCATCTCAGGAAGAGTGGTAAGCACAGAAGGCATTCACTCAAATACTGTGGTGTCTTTCAAATGATGGCATCTTCACCTATGACCCTTCACTGTGTCGGTAATTTTTACCCATTGATTTTTGCACTGCAGATACAACATGATAATCAATATAAGCTTGTTAATATAACATGATATAGCATAATGATAATATAACATGATATAGCATGGATCAATATTAACGTGATAGTCAATTAACAAGCAGCACACATGGCTCGGAGAAAAGACTTCAGAATCCATGGAAGCAATAAATACCCAAAAGAAGTAACAAAGAAAGAATGAAAATACCTCATGATATTTTTTCACTGTTTTCCCTGACATGCACATGCAAGATTTCCAGTTCGGAGTCCCACAGCCACAGTTTCCTCCACAGCGCTGGACAAGGAGGCAGCGGGGGAAGAAAACTACATTTGTCAGCTTCAGTTCCTCCCTTAAATTGACAGAGTAGTTTCTCGGGGTGCAGCTGTAACGTTTCACGTCATCATTCAACCTGTCCAGGTCAACTGCAATGCAAAAGAAGTTTCATTAGTGAGGTTTGAGTGGGTCATTCCTCCAGTTTATACTGCTCCCTAGGTAGTAAATAACACAAAGTTATGGGACACTATTTGAAAAATAGGTGAAGTGTAGCAGTGATTTCTGAACAGATAAACATAAACCTACCAATTTTAAATCATTACAGGTGGCCATCCAGGCAGTCACCCTGCTCCCACTGATTCCCATAGCAAAGCTCACACCAACTATAAAGGTGAAGGGAAGGCTTGAAGTAAAATATTGGCCCGAAAGCTGAAGACTAGTCATTTTATTTGCTTTATCACTGATCTGTTGGATCCCTCGGCAAGAGATTCCACCTCTGCTACACTCTTCCCTCCTCTGTTTATACCTGACTGACTTAGATGATAAGATCTATTTTGTTACTATGAGCATAACTTCTTTTGCCTAACTGCAGGCATAGAAAAGGCAAACACTTTAAACAAGACCCTTTCTGTGGTCAGTAGAGAAACTGGGGAGTGATTCATCCCTTCCTCACAAGAGCATTTAGGACAGGCTACATGACTTGTTTTCTCAAGTTGCCTGTCTGTATTGTTTATGGACAGAGTTTAGATAACTCACTTTTAGATGGAGAAACCAATCTAAGCAATATTATTTTCAGCTGGTAAATGTTACTATAATAGGCATAAAAATAAATACAATTAAAACTAATGAGGTTCATTGAATGCCAGTAGTTGGTTGATGTTTAAGTGCCTGGTATCTCTGTGAGATCTGTCATGTAAATAAGCAGTAAAGCCAGTCATAAAAATAACTTATAGACTATCAGCTGTGACTTTAAGTGCTGTTTCTAGCTTTTCCTTATAAAGCTAAACCAAAACAAATAACCCCTTCTATAAATACATATTCCACACTTGTAACACATACAAAAGCAACAAATTTAATGAGTTCTATTTCTAAAGAAGTTTTTTGATTTCTTTTTCCTTCCTTTTCTGCTTTCTTCTTTCTTTAGGATTCTATCCACCAACTAAGTGTTCAAAAGCTCAATAATTCATTCAGGACTGGAGGACGTGGGAACTTGTGTTGAGTTCAACTCCAAACAGCTTTTGCTAACAGAAACATCAACAGGAAAATAGAGATGGCTGAAATGAGAACTGAGATAACAGTGTAGTGTTTGTGAACATACCAGATTTTCATGGGCATGTATAATAGGTCAACATCATTTCTGGTCCTGAGAGCACCTCTGCCTGTGCTTTAATAAAAATATGTGAAAACTTACAACAAAGACACTTCATACCTTCTGTGATTCAGTCCTTGTCAACATCACAAAGTAAGTAGTGGAAAAAGCTGTGATTTGTAAATATCATGTACCTTTACATTCTGACCTGGAGATATTCACAAGGCAGATAAGCAAGGGGCAAGGGTACATGTCAGGAGTGCTATTATAGAAAATCATAGCAGATTCACTTTCCTGGCGAGGTGTTATCTCAGTCAATGGGAATTCAGTAGATAAATTGCGATTTTATAGCAATTGTGATACATGTCACCATGAAATCTCAGTGGTTCTCTCCAGAGAGTTAGCATCTCTCCAAAAGAGGTATAGATCATTCTCCTGATATAAGCACAAAATCAATGGGGCTGGTGGTATACTTATGCACTGGGAGAAAAATACACTGTGAATGTCCTTAGCCAGGACTTAGAAGTCCAGGGAATATTGACTTCTTTGTTTTAACAGATGGTATTTTTTTCTCCACTGTCATTCTCCAAAGCCACCCCTTCTCACAGCAAGACAGGCTAATTCTCTTCACAGGGAAGTGTTTCCCACTCCTGTAAACGTTTGCCACCAGCTTTGCTAACTGGTAAAGCAAAGTACTATCTGGTTACTATTCATTTCAACCAATAGATGTGAAGGAAAAATCTCCCAAAGGAAGAATAGGGTTGAAAATTTTCTGTCTTTATGATTAATGAGATTTCCTGAGGGGAAAGCCTGGATCATCCACACTTTAACACTACAGCAACTCAGGGGAATGGATACTTACACGAGCAGACTCCTATTGGGCAGTCCAGGCTGACTGTGGACTATGACGGCATCTGCTGATGGTACTGATAGAGTTAGAATAAAATGCTCAAAGGCTTAATTTAGACTTAATTCAGCTGAGGGAACATATGAAACAAGGCTTCCAGTAGCAAACTGGTTAGTAAAGAGGGCCTATCTTCTGTGTCTAAAGATGGTTGGGGGACTGAATAAAATTTACTCTATCACAGATGACATTTCCCCTCAGGGTCAACACTCCTCCTTCCTACATTGAGCTAATACCTATTAGCACTGCTGTATTATCAAAACAGAAATGAGTCCTTGTAATGAGACTAGCAGAGAGGGAAAGCACCGGCATGTAAAGGACCTGCGTGGGGGGGTTTTCCTGCAGAGGGCATATTATATCCATCACCATGTTACACTATTAGCTTCAATACTTAACTGCTCAATTTAAATGGCAACGGTTGACCTGACAAAGGGCTTTCACTGGAAGGAAGGCTTTGCTCACTGCCTTCAAACTCCTACTTCTGATGCCTTTCGGAAGTCTTTGCAGGGTCTCAGGCTGTAGTTGACTCAGGACTGTGGGAAGCTGATGATTTGCTTGAAGCATAGGAGGGAATAACCAGATAATTAGCACAATTTTCTTTCTCTATGTAGTATGAAGGAATAAGCAGTTTTCAATGAGGACTCAACACTTTCTCTGGGTACATTTCTCAGGTATTCTGAAATCAAATAGTAGCAATACGCATTTTATCTAGCGTATTTTTTCTGTATTTGAAAAACCTAGGGGAAAATTTCCAATGCAAAATTGCATGAATTCTCCTTGTTATCTACTCAAGGCATTCTGATCATGATTATTATCAGGTTTTGGGACCACCAGATCCCAGAGTTATCAGTTAAAATGCAAATTCTCTGCACTTTGCTATATTTTAGGTATCAGAGTCCAGCTTAAAATGGACAAAAATAATAGCAGAAAGGTCTTATTTTAGTGATTTCGAAAACATATAAAAATAAATAAGTTCAAGCAGAGAAGAACAGACTAAATAAACAGTTTAGTACATACACAAGTCATCCTCTATTAAAATCCATTTGGAGGTAAACACCTATACCTACATGCTTTTTTACTCTGCTCCACAGAACTCCAGTGCTTAGTGGGATAAGGTGAGCATGCATACTCTGTGAACAATGTATACTGTACTCTGGTAGCATCATACTGACACATGAGAACAGTTCCCAATGCCTAATTACCTTTAGATCACGGTTTATTGCCCCCTAACAAAAGAACACATTTAATTCTGAACAATTCTCTCTGCTGAAAGCTTCAATATGTATTTTTCCCTGTCTTGGGATTGTTTTACTGTCTGGAGCCAGTCCATTTCCTCATCCATATAACAATGAGATTTTACAGTACAGTCAGTTTCATGCATCACTTCACTGCTGTGACTAAAATGTAACTGAGCCTTGGTGTGATTGGTGTGAAATCCAACTGCTTTACTTATCAAGGACTGAAACCACTGGAGTCCTTAATTTAAAACTAGAACTAAAAGGTTCTTTAGACTGGATGCAAATAACTTCCAAGTATTATTACAGAATGTCTGCATCAGAGATTTAACTTAAAGGTAAGGCAGTTATAAAGAGATGCATCGGAGCACTAAGATCATAGAATCACAGAATCATAGAATCAACTGGGTTGGAAGGGACCTCCAAGATCATCAAGTCGAACCCTTGCTCCACTACCATCGTGGTTACTACACCATGGCACTAAGTGCCACATCCAGTCTCATCTTAAAAACCTCCAGGGACGGAGAATCCACCACTTCCCTGGGCAGCCCATTCCAATGCCTGATTACCCTCTCCGTAAAGAATTTCTTCCTAACATCTAACCTAAACCCCCCTGGTACAGCTTAAGACCATGCCCTCTTGTCCTACTGATAGCTGCCTGGGAGAAGAGACCAACTCCCACCTGGCTACAACCTCCTTTCAGGGAGCTGTAGAGAGTGATGAGGTCTTCCCTGAGCCTCCTCTTCTCCAGGTTGAACAGCCCCAGCTCCCTCAGCTTCTCCTCATAGGACTTGTGCTTGAGTCCCTTCACCAGCCTCGTTGCTCTTCTCTGGACCTGCTCCAGGACCTCAATATCCTTCCTGAACTGAGGGGCCCAGAGCTGGACACAGTACTCGAGGTGTGGCCTCACCAGCACTGAGTCCAGGGGAAGAATCACTTCCCTGGATCTGTTGTCCACATTGTTCCTGATCCAGGCCAGGATGCCATTGGCCTTCTTGGTCACCTGGGCACACTGCTGGCTCAAGTTCAGCTTCCTGTCAATCCAAACTCCCAGATCCCTTTCTGCCTGGCTGCTCTCCAGCCACTCTGTCCTCAGCCTGCAGTGCCACAGGGGGTTGTTCTGACCAAAGGGCAGAATCCAGCACTTGGCCTTGTTGAACCTCATCCCATTGGAATCAGTTCAACTCTCCAGTCTGTCCAGATGCCTCTGCAGAGCCCTCCTGCCTTCCAGCAGATCAACACTCCCCCCCAGCTTGGTGTCACCTGCAAATTTGCTAATGGTGCCCTCAATCCCCTCATCTAGATCATCAGTAAAGATATTAAACAGAACTGGGCCCAACACTGATCCCTGGGGGACACCACTAGTGACCGGCCGCCAACTGGATGCAGCCCCGTTCACCACCACTCTCTGGGCCTGGCCCTCCAGCCAGTTCCTAACATAGCACAGAGGGCCCCTGTCCAAACCATGGGCTGCCAGATTTTTCAGGAGTATGCTGAGGGAGATGGTGTCAAAGGCTTTGCTGAAGTCCGGGTAGACACATCCACAGCCTTCCCCTCATCCATCAGGTGGGTCACCTGATCATAAAAGGAGATCAGGTTGGTCAGGCAGGACCTGCCCTTCCTAAACCCGTGCTGGCTGGATCTGATCTCTTGTCCCTCCTGTAGGTGCTGAGTGATTGCACTTGGGATGATCTGGTCCTC